ATAGCTTATCTTGCATGGTACACATTTTTTAATAGAGCATATTTTTTTTCTTCTGAAACTATAAAATGAATTTCCAGCATACACACTGCAGGTGTTAAGCTATAATACTTGGTCAATTTTAAGAAGTTTACTTTAGCAGAGAAGCGTTTTTTAAAATGATTAATTACACACAAGATTTTGTTTCTTTAGTCATAGAACAAGTAAAAGTAAAGTAGCAATAATATTTAGCCTAAGGGGTTCATGCATAATAACTCAGATTTAAGAGGAGATTCTGCATATGCTTTATGAGATTGAGAAGAACAGGCTAAATAATAAAAGAAGATTTTTTCCAGGGCCAATAAAAAGAACTGATTTTTATATTTCATGTTATGCTTATAGACTTAACCACTACACTCCTCTACAAATTATCAGAAAATGACATCCTAGAAGAAATGGATTTCGATTAGGTTTTTGAAAAAGAAAATGAAGATAGATGTGGGTTTTTCAGGAAGGAGTTGCTGTAGATAAATGTGTGCAGATGCAACGGAAGTAAACATCCACCAACATAAGAAGGGATTAATTTGTGCAGCAAATATGGAGAAAATGGGAGAAAATTAAAGTAATCTTGTAAGAGGGCCCCATTCTTCCTTTGTCTTTTATTTCTGGAAGCAGATTTTGTTTACATGATGACAGATTGTCTTCAGACCATCTAGTGTGCTCATTTTGGAGTGTTGCATTGTACTGCATGTCAAGAGCCTTGGATGACCAAGAGGAGTGTTTTAGATACTTTCTATGCCCTGAATTGGAGCTGAATGCTCTTGGTGTTATGTTTGTAGAGAGGATGCTCACTGCAAGGAATATCATTAGAACACATCCACTTAGACAAGAAATCTCAGCTAATCCTTCTAAGTTTAACGTAGTTCTTTTTGGTTAGGAACATGGATTCTGGAAGCAAACTGCTTGAGATCGATTTCATCACTTTAGAGATGTTACTTAGACTTCTGTGCCTCAATTTCCTCACCTTCAAAATAGGGCTAATAATAGTGCCTACTTTCTAGGGTGTTTCCAAGTCTAATGAGTCAATGAATGGAAAGCTGGTAAAGCAGTGCCTGGTGTTGATAAGTGTTAGCTACTAGCATCATCATCTGACATCATGAGTTATTAGGTCCTGCCTTATTGTTTATGTTTATTAACATCTATAGAGTATTCATTCTATATTGAGGGCTCTTTTGTACAGAAAAATTTCCACTTTATGTGCTTAATATGTTAAATATAACATTTTAATATGTGTACTATATATTTTGGGAATTCATAGTCTGCCTATTATTATTATTGTAATAGCTAAGTTATGATAATAGCTACAAGAGGAAGCTGATCCTCAGTGTTAAAAGATGTATCTACATTAGACAGCCCTGATGGTGTTTTGTTTATTTTAGCAGGTTACACTTACATAATAACTACTGGTTACTCTTCTACAATAACTACTGTAATCAGTTCATATTTTTAAGGGTTTCCATGTGGCATTCGTTTATTTCACAATTTATTCTCCTTAAGCACCATATGTTTTTGACACCCTATATGGCAAGAATTAAATATTGAATAAAGCAGGCTGAGTACCTATTCTAAGATAGTTTACATCCTGGATGTGAACATTAAGAAAGGTAACACATTATTACAGAAGAGCTTCTATCTAGCTTCTGTTATTATATAATGTAAAAAAATAAGATGAGCATAAAATATAGAGATAATATATGTTTCAAGGCGAGGACTATTCAAATGTTTCAGCCTCTATATAAATGTCTCTGAAATGACATTTAATCTGAGACCAACTGCAAGAAAGAGACAATGTTGGAACACACAAAAGTTAAGTGGGGGAAAAAAGTATTCTCTACCTTTAAAGAAGCTAGATTGAATAAACAAATTAAACCCAGGATAAAATATTTTTTAAACTCAGAATTTTGCAATGTGCCACCAATCAAAAGTTATGTAATAAATATCTTTTTTTCTATGATAATAACAATGATTTTTTTTAAAACCATTTTGATTGTTCTTAGTCCCATAAGCACTAAAGCAAAAATTAAAAGAGATACTTGTTCATTTCTAACAGGCTTCATAGTAATAGTATTTTGAACAATGATTTTTGTAGAGAATAAAAAATTATAAGTTTTTCTGGGAGCTTTCATTTACTACTGAAAGGCTTGATCTGGTATTTACTTGATAACAGGTATGTCTCCAAGATATCTTTATTAAATGGCCAAAGTGGTTATAATTTTTGTATTTTAAAGTATATCCAATTGAAATTCCAAGAAGATACATTTTGTTTTATTAAGGAATATTTGATTAAGATCACATTACCATGTTTTAGAAAACATTGTTAAAAGAGTTGTTTAAAAAATACTCGCTATTTAAAAAATACTCATGGTATTTTTCAAGCAGATTTTTCCAATGTCAGAAGAAAATATTTTATTATAAAAATTACACTCAGTAATTTTTTGCTCATGATTACTTCATTCATAAGGAAGGATCAGCACAGTTTTTATCTGCTCTGTGCTCAATGACAGCTCAAGGGCAAGAAGAAAAAAATGTGGGCTGGTTGATGCTTGAGGAAAAGGGGAGTAAAAAAAAGGGAGGAAAAAGGAAATGCTTGAGGAAAAGCAAATTCCCAATGAATGTATTATAAAAGGTACTTGTCCTTGGCCTCTGCTCTTTCTAATATTAAGGTCATTCCAAAGAAAATTCTCTCCATCAAAGAGAAGCAGAGCAAATAAATTAATTTTCTAAGTAATCATGTAAAAATATGTGTCTGTTATATAGTCAGTGTTGATAAAAAGGAAAATGTATCTGATTTATGAACTTCCTTGGTGATGATGATGATTCTCTCCTTTCTCTTCCTCCCCCTTCCATTTTCTTTCTTCTACCCCTCCTCCTTCTCCTCCTCCAAAAGTTTACTCATGTTTCAGCAATGCCCCTTATCAAAAGGATCACCACTGCTTTCATTAAATTGTAATGAATTTAATTTCATTAAATTGTAAACTGTAATAGCTAAACAAATTTCATATACATTTTTATTGGCCTATATAATGGTTTCTTATAAACAAATTAATGCTTTCCAGACAAGTTGGCTTTTGTTAAATTAAATGGCTATATTTACAATATTTTGTCATTTATTACAAATAGATTCTAGCTTTTATTGCCAGAGCCTTGGATCTGGGAGAATTATTAATAAATGGAAATCCAAATAAGTGCTCATGCTATAAATTAACAATTTAGCTGTTCTGAAAGTCATCAGTGTCAAACCAGTTTCCACAACTAGATAATTCATATTGCTAGCTAATTTAATTTATTCTGTAGTTTCATGTCTGTTACTAATAAATGATGACTTTCTGTGTTCATCATTCCATGCGCAAGGACAGGTTGGTTAATATGTATGGCATTCATTACTAATTAGTGATCTGCTTCGGGTAATATCATCTCACCATAATTGGACCTTTGCAACCAAGAGTGTTAAAATTCACATTTAAAACACTTTGCAACGATGGTAATAATTCTTTTTTTTTGTGGTTTGGTTTGTTCTGTTCACTTCCTCCAGACATAGATGTCATCGAGTGTTCCTTGCAGTTCCCAGATGATGATTACTCCTGGTGGGACCTCTTCATGAAGATCTGCGTCTTTGTATTTGCCTTTGTGATTCCTGTCATCATCATCATCATCTGCTACACCCTGATGATCCTGCGCTTAAAGAGCGTCCGACTCCTTTCTGGCTCCAGAGAGAAAGATCGCAACCTCCGCCGGATCACACGGCTCGTCCTGGTGGTGGTGGCGGTCTTTGTCATCTGCTGGACTCCCATTCACATTTTCATCCTGGTGGAGGCTCTGGGGAGCACCTCTCACAGCACAGCTGCCCTCTCCAGCTATTACTTTTGCATCGCCTTAGGTTACACCAACAGCAGCCTGAATCCCATTCTCTATGCCTTTCTCGATGAAAACTTCAAAAGATGTTTCAAGGACTTCTGCTTTCCAATTAAGATGAAGATGGAGCGACAGAGCACTAGTCGAGTCAGAAATACAGTTCAGGCTGCTGCTTACATGAGGGATGTTGACGGGATAAATAAACCAGTATGACTAGTCGTGGAGATGTCTTCTTATAGTTCTCCAGGAGGAGAAGAGTTCAATGATCTAGGTTTAACTCAGATTACTACTGCAGTCTGAGATGGAAAAGTAGAATGTCTAACAAACTTTTAGGAATCTCATAGTCCGAAGTCATAAGATACAGGCTGCATTAGCGACCCAGGTCAGTGGAGTACAAAAGGTCCCAGTGAGGAAACCCAGTCCCTCTCTGTAGGGCAGGGAAGCAAGGCTGACTCCCAGTTCCTTTGACAAACAAGAAACACGCCTTTTTCTTCTAGTTACCTAGATTTACTTCAGGACTCAGCTGCTGTGGCCTTCCTATGCGATGTGATTTCAAAAGCTCTGTTTAAAACAAACAAACAAAAAAACCACTGGTTTCAGAGCTTAGTGGGTATCAGACCCCGACACTTAACATTGACAGAAGTAACCTCATAAGAACGACAACCATTTCCAGGGCCCATGCCCGGCTCGCTTTATGCTGCATGCACACGCATTGTATGTGGCTGTGTGGTGAGGAATCCAGCTTAAGTCTGACTTGGACCCACACCTGAAGTGTCTGATGTTCATATGCAGTAGGAAATTATGTTGATATTTAAATATACAAAAGGTGGTTTCGAACATCGTTTAATTTCTTGAAAACTATATTTTTAGCATGCTATTCAGATAAATAATCTCGCAAAAAAAAGTATGTCTTGATGTGAGTAAACATAGAGTAGTTTCAATACCACCAAAAGTATATATAGTTTTATCTGTAAATAATAGTGTAAATAAGGAATGGGTTTGCCTTCCACCCAGGCAGTTTCTTGAGGGCATGCCTATGATATCCCCCGAGTTATTTAGAGCTGATATTGAGACATTTTGCTGCAACAGAAGTTTCTCTTTGTGAATCAGTCAGTGGCACCATCTCTTTCAGACTCTCTGAGCACCAATTAGTCCTTTAACAGTGCCCATAACTCCTGTGTCAATCAATCACAAAATATTTAACTCTCTCTTAGGTTGTAGCTTTTGCAGAATCTAATTTATACACAATATCTTGTTATGAATATATATCTATTATCATTCTCTCTGTTCATGGGGGGAGAGCATTTTGCTCATGTAAATCTTGAGAGATTATTTTGTGGCTTTCAGAGGAAAGTAGAATTGTTCCTAATTGTGGGCTGAATGAAGACATAATGCCACTCGCGAAGCTTAGACATACCTTGCACTGCATTCTGTGAAGAGCACACCTGCTGAAGATAATGCCATGAGCAGCACATTTAGGGGAATTTTGCTAAAACTTGTAGATGATATACAAATTTCCCCTTCTTTTCCCTGAAGCTTACTGTTTCGGAGGCAATGGCTTTTTTTCCAAGGTAATTTGCCTGGGTAGAATAAAGGGATAATTTAGAAATAACACCCATCTTTCTTTTAGCCAATAAGGTATTTGAACAACATCCTCTGAAATTTTATAGGAAAATCAAATGTATAGGGCTACATAACTATAGATATCATACTCTAAAACTTCTGTTCACTGTGTGCTTTCTCTCGTGTATACTCTCCCCTTTTGGATTGAAGGTTTTATATGTGGCTTCAGAAGTTTAGTTTGGTGGTATTTGTCGATTCCAGATTTTCATAGCACCTAATACAGATGCCTTATGGCTGCAAAGCAGGGTTTTTCCTGATGAAAACAAAGTGTTCTTTGAGAATTTATTAAATTTCACTGATTTTTCTTAAGTGTCCTTCTATTCTTATAATAATTGTAGATAGGAATGGCTTAAATATTGGGTGATATTCACCTATGGTTAAAAATCTTGGCTATCATACAGGAGGGATAGCTATGTAGTGAGTAGTTTCAGAAATAAGTCCCACTGAAATGGAAAATATAGAAGCCTCTTTACAACAGTAAAACCCAGGAAATTTTCTTGAAGGATTCTTACACAGTGCAAAACTATAACAGAGATAAAATCATAGAACAGACTTATAGTAATGTGTTCGTTTTAACTTAATATCCCACATGCCTTTATAGCATCAGTTGCCATTATTGCAGCCTGAGCTTTAGCCTGACCATCCTGTACCTTTTCATATCTAAGTTTGCAGCCCAAAGAGAGAAAGGAGTAGATCTATGTGCTCATGAGGGGTGTTATAAGCTTCTCCATTATTGTTGACACCAATTTTCCCAAACTAAAAGAGGAGGGAAGATGGCTATGTAATTTTAGGGCACTACATTAAAGAATGATAAAATGAATCATGTATGTTAAGAGAAATGCCACTTAGACAAATGTGTTTCTTTGTTAAAAGTGAGTATGTGCATAAATGTGTGTACATGCATGCATGTGACTATGGACTATGTACGTGTCTGTAATAGTGTGAGCATGCATTCCTGTTTAAGTGTGTGTGCATGTCTGTGAGTGTGTGTGTACTGTCATGAAGTGGTGGTCATATTGCAATTCCTTCGTCATTCCAGAAAATGCATTTGTCCTAGCCCCACTTCCTCTCAAATATGTCCCATCTCTTGATGTCCTTGTTCTCCCATCATAGCAAGGAGTGCACTGTCTGCCATGTCTGTTTGAGACCAGAACTGCATGTATCTAAACTTGAGATCAGCTCTCTACATGAACTTCATCTTCCAACCTGAGTGACAACTTCTGGAAGGTATGATCTAGTGAGGGGTCAGAAAAAATGCAGGGAAATGAAATAGACATTCAGGAGGCATGGGGATTAAAAAAAAAAAAAAACCCAAAACATAATTCTACCTGGGAGGAGATTGGAACCACCATTAATGACTTAGACTACTCTTATGAATCTAGGAGCATCTGCTATGCAAAAGGTTCAGGTCAAAACTCCAGGCTTTATACTAAAAAAGCATAATTTGGAAATATAGTTTTGAAAAATCAAGGAGTATTCATAAAGATCTTAAGAAAATGGCTCTATTCTATGATGTACTACTGAGAAATAAAAGTTCTTAAATTTATATAACTATTATCAGACACTTTATAGATGTTTCATCTAGTATTGGGACATAATGAGATGAATTACTGAAATAAAAAAAAAAATACATGGGCTGGCTTTAAATTAGAGCTTTTTAAAAGAGAAATGTGTTACAAGTTGTATGTCCATTCAATGAGATTTATTTTCTAAGCAAGAGTTATTTGGAAGATTCAGCATAAATTTGAAAATCCCATCCTAAAAAGTCATTAAAATGTTTGCCCTAGGTAACTTTCTTCTCTGAAAGAAAAATATATTCATGTATCCTTTACTATAATGTATATTATTTATATCTTGTACTTTTAAAAGATAATTAGACATTGTGTATATCATTGTGTGCCTTGCAATAAAATAAAAATTATACCTGCTAAAAATCATGGCAGATGATTACTGTGATAAATCATTTATTCTTTAATAGTTTTGATGATGCTGCACTTAAGCAAAGACAATGTTAATGGTTTTCTAAACTACAATTTCTTTAACTTTACATCTATGACAATGCTGTGAATGATTAATGGAAAGGATTAAAACATGTAGGAATCTAAACTAGGATTTTAAATTCCCAAACCTATCAATTGCTTAGGAAAATTCACCTGTTTTCACAGAAATGCTGCCAAGATCCCAGAATCAGTGTTACACACTACCCTTCTTTTCTCTTCTCCCCATCACAGAAGAGCCTGCACAGGTGGCTGGGAACTTTAAAACAAACAAACAAAAACAGTGGAGCCAACAGCTGTAACTGGCAGGGAGTAGAGCCATGAGATCACAAACTTGCCTCTTCTCCTCTACATGCCCCTACAGAGCTTGATAAAGCCAAAAACAGCAGGGGGCGATAGGGGGTAGAGGTAGCTCTGGGAGCTTGCAATGCTGGTTCTCCATTGCCTTCCACATTCCCCAGCAGAGTGGTGACTTCCTGTAACCAAGGTGAGTTGAATGCAGAGAGGATACCCACCATCCCAGTGGATACCGCACATCCCTTAAGCAAAATAACATTACTCTGTACCTATCTCAGAGGCGCTATTAGTTCAGGTAAGAGAAAAGAAAAATGTGTGTTATAGCACCATCTATTGGAAAACAAAAGAAAGCATTCTACCTATTAACCTGCTGAATTGAGAGCAAAACAGTATCTGTGCAATAAAACAAATTATTACCTCAAATGCGTAGACAGAGAAACAAGTTATCAAATACTGTGAACAAGCAAACTAACTTGGGAGCACAGAAAGATAATGAAAAGTCTCCAGAAACCAAATTCAAAGTTATGGAAGATTATCATTTAAATGACAGAGAATTCGAGATTGTAGTGATAAAGAGACTCAATGATATACAGAAAACTCAGAAGGGCCTTTCAATGAACTCAAGAATAAAATTAGTGAACAAAAGGAGTACTTTACCAAAGAGATGTAAACTATAAAAAAAAAAAAATTCTGGAGCTGAATAACTCAATAAAAGAGATGAGAAATGCATTAGAGGGCAGTGGAAATAGAACTGCCCAGGTAGAAGAGAGACTTAGTGAACTCAAAGATAGAAATCTAGAAATGATTGAGAAGGAATATTTTTCTTAATTAATAGTTTTAAAAAATAAAAAAGAAAAAAACTTCAATAATTATCTGACTACATGAGAAAGAGCAGATTAGGCATAATAAATATACCCTAAAGAGAAGAGAGGGAGAATGAACACAGAGTCTAGTCAAAGAAATAATTGATGAGAACTTCCCAAGCCTATGGAAATAAGTAGACTTTAGAATAGGGGGAGTTAACAGAACACCTAATTATATCAGTGCCAAAACACCTTCTCCAAGACACATTTGATTCAAACTATGAAAAATCAATGACAATTCTCAAGGAAGTCGGCAGGAAGGGGCTGGGGAGGGGAGAGGGAAAGGTGGACTGTAACCTACAAAGGAAATCCCATTGGATTATCATCAGATTTTTCAGTAGAAACATTAAAAAACAGAAAGAGGAAAGAAATTATTCAAAATATTGAAAGAGGAAAAATTAGCCAAGGCTAATATATATCCAGCAGTTATTCTTTAGATATGAGGGAGAAATAAAAACTTTCCTACACAAACAAAAGCTGAGAGAACTTGCTACCACAAGACCTGCATTATAGGAAATGCTGAAAAGAGCTCCTTTACCGTAAACAAAAATACAAAAGTTAAAAAAAAAGAAAAGAAAAAGAAAAAAAACCTTTGAGTAAGATGACTAACAGACAGAAGCATGAACCTACAAATCTACTTCAGAATAAGTTATTAAACAGTAAATTATGACAAAGTTTAAAGGGGAGAAAAAGGGATTAAAATAACTATATCTATAGCAATGTGATAATGAATACACAACATGAAAATAAGTAATTTATGACAACAAAATCATAAAAGAAAAGAGTAGGAGGAAAGGACTAAATATGTACAAGTGAATGAAGATAAGATGCAATCAGAAGAAAATCAACTATTATATGTATGAGATATTTTACACAATCCTAAAGGTAACCACAAAAGTCCAGAGCTGAAATACAAAACAAACAAAAAGAGAGAGAGAAAGAGAGAGAGAGAAAGCAAAGAAAAAAAAAAATCATAGAACACTGCAAAACTAAAATAGCAGACAGAATCACAAGGGAAAAGAAACAATGGGAATAGAGAAACCAGAAAACAAAAGATAAAATGGCTGTAGTAGGTCCTTATAATTAGTAATTGCCCTAAATATAAATGGACCAAAATTACCAATCAAAAGGCACAGAGTAGTGGGATAAATTAAAAAATAAGACCCGACTGAAGGTGGGTCAAGATGGCAGACTAGGTAAAAGCAGGGTTCACCTCCTCTCAGGACCACATTAAAATTACAACCAAATTGTAAAATAATCAATGTGGAGAATCACCTGAAGTCCAGCTGATCATAACATATACATCTGATGATATAAAGAAGGAGCCACATCGAAGCCAGTAGGAAGGAAAAAGTCACAAATTGGGCTGGGCCTACATCTTCCAGTGGCAGTGAAACACTGGGAAAGAGAGCATGGCTGCATAGGTCCTCCTGAAGGAGAGAGGGGTCCTAGCCCCATGTGGGGGCTCCTGGCCCAGGGTCCCAGCCCAAGGAAGAGGTATTCCCAAAAAACCTGTCTGTAAAAATCAGCGGGGATTCTGGCTATCCAGGTAAGACAGTAGGAGACTGAAATCCCAGACACCCCTTTAAAGGGCACATGCACAGGCTCTCTTGCCCGCAGACACGCACCCTGGGCAAGAGTCATATGGGGAAAGACTGCATTACATGGCACCAGAATGAGGGCTGGAGAGACAGCAGCCATTGTGCCTTTGTTGGGGCCTCCTAAGGGGCAGTCTACATACAGGCGTCAGCTTGCCTGTGTGGAACCTTCTCCACACCACATGGCAATTCTGAAGCTGCACTGGCCTGGGGAGATTGGCCCACCCTACCCAACCCACATATTATCTGGGGCAGCTTGATGCTAGCTGGCTGCCCCTGCCCTGCCCCTTTCTGACACAGGCATTAGACCTCAGCCAGCGCTGTGAGCACATTTCAGGGAAAACAGTTGTAGACAGATCACTGCCGCCAAGATGAGCATGGTCTATTGTGGGGGTCTGTGGGCCAGTCCCAGATAATAGCTGGTCTTGCTGTAATCTGTGACTTTGTGAGAATTCATGGACACAGAGTTTGCAGCAAAACTGAGGCTGTTTTGGCCTTGTTGCCCCACACCGCCCAGCCCACAAATTGCCCAGGGCCCACTGACAGGCAGATATCCTCCTCACCCCTCTCTGGGGTTGCACATTCTGCACAGGCAACAGACCTTGGCTAGCACAGCACACAAACTTTTGGGAAAACAGTGGTAGATGGACCACTGCTGCTGGCATAAGATATGATATCACTTGGGCAGACCACGGTGGGTTGTGGGCCTGTCCCAGATGGTAGTGGGTCTCACAGTGATCTATGACTTTTGTGGGATGCTGTAGACCAACAACTGGAAGCAAATCTGGCCCCCTGCCTCACTGAGATGCTGCCCCACGTAACCTATAAATAACCTGTAGCAAGCTAGTCTCAGGCAACTCATTCCCATCCTGTGCATTCCTTGGGAAACAAATTCAATAGCAAACAATAGCACTCAGTCTGTGCAGCCCACACAAAGCCTGTGGAGAGACTTTTCGTGGCAGGCCACAAACTCAGGCCCATGAGCTTCAGTAATCCTTGAACAGATCTCAGGTGTTTGCAGGCCTGAGGAGGACAGTGGCTGATATTGCTGCAATCTGAGACTTTTACAGGAAACCACAGAGACAGCACTGGCATGTAAACTGATGCTGTGGTGACAGAGGGAAATCTGCTGCATATATCCAGGTGACTCCATGGGTCCCTGCACCTCCCAGCATGCGTATCACTCAGAGGCTCTTCCAGTTGCGGAGTCTTATAGGCAATTGACAGGCAGCCTCAGGCCTTGAGGTGCCTGGTCCTTTTGCTAAACCATCCTAGGCCCAGTACTGGGGGTAACCTGACTGCAGCATACAGCATTGTCTCTTCCACTTCCTTACAGATCCAGCATAGGCAGAAACCATCTGAAGATCACTTTATAATTCTCCTTTTACGTCCAGTTTATACCAGGTAGCACTGAGCAATCAAAGGCAGCGGCTGACCTTGGTCTACTGGGGAGCCCCTCCCAAGGGGCCACAATACTAACAGACTCAGAGGCTGACACTAGACCACAACAGAGCAACTCCTGACTAGCCCCATCATAGGTATACAAAAAGGATGGTCTCAACAAGTACACAAGCCTGTTAGGGCAAATCCCACTCAGTGGCATCAGTCCCCACATAGCAACTCATACCCTGTGGGCATAGCATTAGTCAACCTGAGCATTAATCCCATCCACTGAGGTACTAACACTAATAACGGATTAGCTACAACAGAAGAACACACAAAACCCACACAAAGATCACATCCAGAGCCCCCCAGCACAGGTGATTAGGGAGAGTGTGCCACTGGACCACACCGAACACCTTACAAATAAGACCATCTGACAAAGGCTGAGAGATGAAACTAATCTTCCTAACACAGAGAAAGGAACACAGGGAGGTTAATAAAATTAGAAAAGAAAGAAATATGCCACTAATGAAACAACAGGAAAAAACTCTAGAAAATAATCTAAACAGAGACAGAGTTCAAAATAATGATTATAAGAATACTCAATGAGCTTAGAGGAAGAATGGATGAGCGCAACGAGAACCTCAACAGAGCATAAAAAAGAGCATCAAAACCATA